GTTTGAAGCAGAATATTGCTCTGAAGGGCACTGGGAGAGCATTGTAGTGGTTTCTGCCCTCTTCCCTCCCTCCAGCAGCTCACTTGCTCCAGAGTCCTGCTGTAACACTGCTGGATTCCTGCTCCCTTTCTCCCATAGCCTTTTTGGGGCAGAAATTGTGAGTGTGTTGGGATCGCTCTGTGCCCTGCCATGGGAGGCTCTTGTTTCAGGGACAGCTTGGCGCCAGGCTCCCTTGGTGGCCCCAGCAATCCCTGGGCAGCTCTGTTTTGTAGGGAAGAGCTTGAAGTTTTGGGGCTGGGACCAAATAAGACTTCCCAGGCCAGGTGTGATGAAATGCGTCAACCTTCTCATGCCTTTGCTTAGGTTGACAATGACATTTATGGAGAAGCTCCATGGCGTTTTGCAGGGGATGCTCTGCCAGATGTTGGGGAGGTGGTGGTTGCGGCTGGGGTGATTTGTTGCCCAGCCCGTGGTGTTTAGGGTAGGCTGTGTATGGGCTGGGGGGGAAATGAGCTCATGAGCTGGCAATGGTTTATTTTCTTTTTCTTTTCCATACCGGTGCCTTTTGCCTTCTCTCCCCCAGATGACAGCTGCCAGGACCAGGCAGGAACCAACTGCGCCTTGGCCATCAAAGTCAACCTGTGCAGCCACTGGTACTACAGCAAAGCCTGCTGCCGCTCCTGCCGCGCGCCCCACTCCTAGTGCCCAGCAGCACCCAGCACCCGCGGCACGCGCCAGGCCGGCACCCTGGCCCACGCCTCCCTTAGCAAGGGCTCTCTATACCATTTAGTAAGCGCTACACATCCCACAGACTGGTGTTAAGGATGCTTTGGGGTTGGTTTTGGTTTTTAGTTGTTTTTTTTTTTCCTCCCCCACCGATGCAGAACTCCTCTCCTCGTCCCTCTCCCGTGTAGAGGAACAGCGCCGGCACGGCTCGGTTGCAAAGCCGTTACCGCTGTACATTGGTAGCCCTCGTTATCAGAGCTGTACATAAAGTCGTGTATATTTGATTCCCCCGAACCGCAGACACGTGCACGTGTTTCACAAGGTCTCGTCCTTTCGGTGGCTTTCCTCTGTGCAAGTTTGGGGTTGGTGATGGGAAGGCGTGGACTCTTCGGAGTGCAAGGTTCCCTTCGCAAAGGGGGTTGGTGCCTCTCTCTGAATTGATCCCCTGCGTTCTCTCTGCATTTAACGTGGTGGGAAGCTGATTTTCGTTTGCTAAATGAACTCAAGCCCAAGCCCTGGTTTTTGTAATATGTAGATGTATACTTTTTCAGAGAATTTTATCTTATAATCAAATGTTAGTTCCATAGTCCTTACAACCCCCCCGTAATGCTGACATATTGTATATAATATGGAAACATAACTGCACTTTATATCACAAAAAAGACGTGCTCTTTTTTAATATATTTGTTTACAGACAGTGAACTTTATCCATATAATCATTAATTTGTACTCATATGTATATTTTAATAAAGTGGTCATATTTATGGTGGTATCTTGTTTTATTCTCCAGTTTGTAGTGGGTGTTTGCCCCCCCGCGCTGGGAACACTGGAGTTGGGGCTATGAACTTGCTGGTGCCTGGGGGGCGCAAAGCAGCTCTAAGTTGGGCAATTGCAGATGCTTGGGCAGTGATGCAAGGAAAAGTCCCTGCAGCGGGGGAGCTGGGGATTTTGGGATGGTTAAGGGGCCCTTTGGGGTTATGTGGGTGGCTTTAGGAACTGCAACCCTGAAGCTTTGCTGGAGCTTGCAAGGGAAGAGGTTTGATATGGTGCCAGTAAAAAAAGGGCCTTTCCATGCTCCCGAGGGTGGTTATTGCTCCATGTTTCTGTGGGTATGGCTCGCCAAGGCTGGGCCAAAGGCTCTTTAGCATCCCCCGTGCTCGTGTGTGCGTCCCCCGTGCTCATGTGTGCGTCCCCATTCCCTCAGCAGCAGGGAAATGCCTGCACCTAGGCAAAAATCTTTGCAAACACCCCCCTGTGCTTGAAGATGCAGGGACAAAAAGGTCAGCCTCAAAGCCCATGTCAAAGTAGTTTATTATTTCTTTTTATTTCTTTTTTTTTCTTTTTTTTTTTTTAACCCCTCTGTGATTCCCAAAGTCCTGTACAACAGATTACCAGGTGAAGGTTAGGGTAAGCCAACCGTTTGCTCAGTTTCCAAGCTACACAGGAAGGAGAAATGAAAGAAAGAAAAGAAAAAAAAGGGAAAGAAAGGAAGGCTGGCAAGAGAAGAACGGTCACGAGAGATGCAAAGAAGAGAAGGGCTCGATGCGTAGAAACAAACCCCAGTGAGAACTGTACATAGGAGCGTGGCCCCGGAGGCTGCCAGCCCCCCGGAGCGGAGGCATCGTGCTCCCGGGACACGGCGACGCAAGGACCAAGCCCAGAATATTAAACATGTATGAAAAAAAACCCAGGCCCCCCCA